ATATTGTGTACAATGTAACACTGACGCTATTACACACAAAAATACAGTTTTGTTAGAATCCTCAAGTCAACAATTGCGTGAAACAAGATCGCGTCAGGTTGAAGCGTGTGGAACTTGACAGCTTTTCTTCAGAACGAACCACTTGGGTGATCTCTAATTGTAGTAGAAATCAACTACATGCAAAAGTATCGACTGGCGTCAGAACATTAGTGGCAATTTAAAAAAATATGTTTCTTTTTTTACGAAACCACTATTTTTTTTACATCGTTGCGGTTAACGATATGCGGTTATGAAAAGTGTGTCTTATGAAATGTGAGCTTCATTCAGAAGAAATACGGCAAGACTGTTGTAATGCTAACACACTAAGTAATCGAATACCCCGAGATCAGCGGATAAGAAGATGTCGATGTAATGGTATGTTCGGGAATTACATATTGTGTACAATAAAACAACGGATTGTTGGGAAATATACAAGCTACGACTGCCGTATTACAGCAAATCTATCCGATGCATACACGTTTTACCGTATGCTCAACAGGGAATGTTAAACATCCCTCGTGCAGTCGCATAACAGATCATAACAGTGCACGTGCGAGAACGCGTAAAGCATGTGTGTTGTGGTCCCAGTCTCATTCACGACGTCAGTTGTCAACACAGTCTTTATGAGTCGGCGTCAAAGTTACGTAATGTTCTGGTAAGAGCGGACTTGGTATGAAGTGGATACGACTATATTTACAATTACTTTTAAAAACCTGTTATTCCTTTTTTTAAACTGATAAATAAAAAAATAAAAAAAATAATCTCACAATCATCTAATGTCGATATTGATCCCTATTACAAGTGGGTGTGGTGTTTTTTTATGTTAAACAAACTATTTTAAGTTCTAGGAAACAGCCAACTGCAAGTATTTTATATGTACCAATGGAATTGATTTATATTTTGTACAAGTATTTTATATGTATTAATGAACATAAATGTAATTGTGATATGTGACACTTAAATAAACAAATTGAACTTGAACTTGAACTTGAACTTTATTAGAACGATAATTATTATATCAACCGAAGAGAAGCGACAGTCGATGTCACACTTTTCGCTTGGTACGTTTGAAGTTTTCTGCCAGGGTTCCATAATGGGTGGAGACAAGGCAAACACACATAACGATAATGTAATCACTCACGAATTAAAGAAGCGAACTGTTATTTATTAGTCTGATAACGTCTTGATATTTACAGGCGATATGGCCTTGATACGATCACAAATATTTGTGAGGGTCAAGGTCGTGTAATCCATTGGGGATGGGAGGCAGAGGCGGAGGATATTGTATGATATAATACGACTTGGGTTACTATTTATTCGTTCGATATTTGTTTTATTATGTGTGGAAACCTCTGCTGCTGTGACACTCTACTGGGCCAGAAAAGCATAATAAACTCCAGCGCTGTCAGAGTTGCTTCGTCCCTCGGGATTCGGCACTAAACGGCACCAAGGAGTATTAGAATCGCTCGCCATATTCATAACATGTCGTAATTACAGAATTAAAATTAATTTATTGTTTAATTCTGTGCAAGATTATAATGCCAAAAGATGATTGAGTGACGGAGACGTCAACATCGCCATGGTCTTTGGGGAAAGCAATTACCAGAATTTTCAAAATCCATCAGTATTACTTGCACAAACAGTTTCAAATAAGCTCTCGACCGATTCCTTTGGTACAAGCCGTCTATCGGTCATTTCTAATGCACATTGTTGATTCTTTGTGCCGTATTTAATTAGCTGGAAGAACACGAAGTATCCGAGTATCACCAACGTCTTTGGTCACAACGAGAAATACACGGCAAGACTGCGAAAAGGCTTCATCAATAGTAGAAATATTGTAACCCGAAATTACTTTTACGGCTGCAGGAATTTTGAATGCACGGCGAATGACAAAGAGGTATGGCGGAAAACTGCCCGTATTTCCCTAAGTCGGCATTTATGAAAACGGGGGAAAAAAATTAAGGAGTAAAACATTTCGAGTAGCAAAAATGCATACAAAAGATTCAAAACCTATTGAATATGAATTTTTAAACTGCTGAGAAATTAGGTTTTGCTAATATGATACTGAAAATATAGCCATATACACTATATCTATGAAAGTGATGGGGTTTCCCGGAGTTAAAATAATACTTTCAACACTTTCCCATCCGAGGACCAACTTTTGAATAAACTTTTTGTGACCGTGATGTAATATGCAAAAACAAATCGTATTACGGAAAAGTGGTCCTCATTTCGGAAAGTGCTCATAATAATGAAAAACAGGGGTGATCAAGTTTCTCTAAACTGCGACCGGTGTTTTTCGGGTTAAATAAGTTTAAAATTGCCAATATCTATATGTTCTATGTAGGCGAATGTGTAACGCAGTTTACTTGCGACTAGAAAACGGTGCAGGTTCGAATCCTCCTTCAGTTATTTTTTTTTTAAAATATTTAGGCATGTGATCATTTTCCTTAATAAGGCAATGGTGGTTTTAACTAAATGGATGGAAGATTTTGTTTACATTTTAATAACATACCTATTGATTTATCAGTTTTGTTAGTTATAATTTCTTAACTATTTTCTATCGAAGCATGTCAACACATTCCTGTACACGTGTACAGTACAGCTACGCTTTGTAGGTAAGACACTATTTTTGATGAAATATATGAATTGTTTTACCCTCCAACTGGCAATAGTAATTATATAAAGTACTTAAACACCAACAAATAATGCCGAAATACCAAATATGTGGTCTGTTTACAATAATCTATTCTTGGACACGGGATTCCGATATTGCTACCTGTATAAAAACACCCGAGGATGCGCGCACTAGCGTAAGATAGCTTTGGGGAAATAGGCATAGCAACCCGCCATATCTCTTTATCCCCTAATTATGATGAAATGTGCTAATACAATATATAGCTATCTATATCACTATATGCTTAGACAAAGCATGCGTGCCAGTACAGTGTAGAGTCAGTGGGTATATGTTCAGTTCTTCATTACCTTGAACCTTACGGCTCATCACATACAAATGTAAGATTCTACACTTCTTCCCGTATATGCAATGCCCTAACAATAATTTTGTCCCAGTCTGCCGCTGGGAGTTGAACCCGCACCAACCAACACACAGGGTTCCACACTCTTATACACCAAGCAGCCGGGTTATGGATGTGACGTCATGATAAAGACCTGTATCGCAATAATTTCTAATCTACCCGCAGGTGTAGCTAGATAGAGGTATCTAATACTGGTTCTTTATCAAGACTGTATTCACCGCTACAGCAGTGATCGTGACATACACATATTTACATGCGTATGTATATATACATTTATCTATAACTATCAGCGCGAACAAATTAAGGATCGAATTTCAGGGATACACAGTCCTTTATGAAGACAAGAAAAATACAACATTCACACATGCCAAGCTCCAGTTAAACTAATTTTCCAAATTGATATGTTTTACTAAGCCAAAACCGAACTGGTCGCTCGTCTTTTAGTGAAAAATTGCACGAGTGAATATTGACTCAAGAGAACAATGTCTCTAGTGAATATTGAGTCTACTGAATATTTGCATATTAAATTTAATGAATATTGGCTCTAGTGAATATAGTCTTTAATGAATTGTGTCTCCTTTTTCTTCAATATCACGATACGTTTATTTATTTTCTAAGCTAGTTCGGCGTTCTACTCCTGTTGATTGATTAATCCAGCTCCTTGCATCTCTCTTGCTTTTTTTAATTATTTTCTCATTAGAAACTTAAAAATCGTTACTATAGTTGACAATTTCCTCACGTTACACCAGTCAATGGCGTGAGACGCAAAGCTTTTAGAAGACTGAATATTTCTGCCCGCGCTGCGCTACCGAAGGTCACAGCAGCACGCCAGGCCAATGAAACGCTGTGTGCTTAATAGCTTACTATTGAAAAACCATAGTTCGACAAACTGGTTTAAAAGAAAATTTATTGTAAAACTTTTTATAACTTACGTCAATCTGAGGTATGACATTCTCTACAACTGGTTAATCGTTTCGGCAGCTCTAGATGCCTCGCACCAGGGCCGCAAGTGATTATGTGTCTCATAAAAGTCATAAAATATTAGAGTTCTATTTCATAATTTTCCAAAAACTTGGAAAAGTCGCATCAAAAGACCATAAAGTGACAAAGCGGTCGCCATGAGCGTGCTACTAAACTGAGATCTACTGTTCCTCCGAAAACATCAGCAGCCACTGCACAGCATAACAACTACTCCAGTCATCGTTGGACTTGATTTATAATGTTCATAAAAGTAGGGGTGCGCTTATTGCCGGTACTTAGCGGAAACAGACCTGTCGTGGACGAGTGTAACGGTGTTGTCTAATGTGTTTTAATTTGCACGGCACTAAACCATTGACAGTTTTTTTTTTATTTTATGGCCGAAATGGAAATGAACAGTTTAGAATACACGCCCCTACGATATACCAGCATCAGAGATACACTGAATTATTCAAGAAAACTTTCCAGGGAAAAGGATATATATTGGAAACAGAATGAATTATCTGTATGAGTTGAATAATAAAGGTGTTTTTTTCTGCAAGAAATTTTGTTTTCGCCGAGTTCGACGGCTGATTCAATGTGCTAATTCAAAAGCAAGAAAGTGGAAAAATGTTTTGTAAGTTATCGCCATGAACAATTAGTTGTTTTCTTTTACAACCAATCTTGATTTAGCAACTTTCTAAAGTTAACGCTTTTGACAAGAATGACTGTTTAAACCTAGAGTTAGCTATCTGGCATTGCTTTCTATCGCCTACTGACAAAACAAATGAAAAATAGAAGGCTACAAAAGCATCAAAGCCATAAAAGTGTGAAAACTTTATCACCTTTTGAACATTTCAAACAGCGATTTCACGTAGTAGCTGATTAATCTCATATCAATAAAGGTGAATATTGAAAACGATTACGTCAATAAAATGCAAAGGTAATGTATTGAAAAAAACTTACCTTAGCAGAAAAACACGTTCTTTGATACAGATATATCCAACGAATTAGTCACGTGGTATTTAGTAAGTAGGATGTATCGCTATGCTTTCAGTTACACACTATGTTTAAACTTCTTAGTAAATAACACAAGGAACCAACTTCCAGAACAGCAGAACATTCATCTTCAGGGAGTAATGATGACGTCCGTTTATGTGAAACTAAGTGATGAGCGTGCTATATCCCGTGGAATGGACGTGCGGTTATTGTATATTAATAAACATCACTGAAAAACATGACTTCCACTTACCGTGATAATTAGTACAATGTGTTCCGTACTTAGGGTATATAGTCTGTTGATCGAAGCTGATAAGCCACGCCCCTTGACCTCACCGGTGTCAATATCGCACACGTGATACGATCGTTTACATATCAATCAAACATGTCACCATAACCACGAGTCGACACGTGCTTGCCTAGCGACGGCGCGTGGTAGTATGTAACGAGAAGTGGTACAGATGCTGAGACGGACACAGTTCTATCCCTTACGCTGTGTGCTGAACGCTGCTATTTGACACGACATCGCATCTTGCCAATTAACGTGTTGTATCAATAAGCTCGCGATCACCATCTATATATACTACACTGGCTCCCGATCACTCCACGATGCCAGGAAAATGTGATAGAAAGAAGTTTCTTCACTCCTGGCCGTTTTATCAAATTGATCTTACTCTCGAAAATAATAATTTATTTAAAAATTGCTGAGTATCATTTTCTTTTTTGTTGACTGTATTCTAAACTCGGAATTGTTTGGTTGAACTCCTATTTAAGTTATGTGCAGGTCAAGGAAATATTTATAAAGAGCGATACAATCCTTGGTACATAATAAAGATACGATAACATTTTGTAAAATAAACAACGGGGGTAAAAAAAACTTTAGTGACGATTTTAACGAATGAAATAACCCTTGATAAAATAAAATGAATACGATTGGTCTAAAAACCCTTTGTGACACATGAAACGGGTGTTATAACTCTAAACGACAAATTTAACAGGAGTAATAACATATTGTGACATACATAACGGGTGTGATGATCATTTGTGACATATATGACGGATGTAATAACTCTTTGTGACATATATAACCGGTGTATAACCCTTTGTGACATATATATAACGGATGTTATAACCCTTTGTGACATATATAACGGGTGTATAACCCTTTGTGACATATACAACGGGTATTATAACGCTTTATGACATATATAACGGGTGTTATAACCCTTTGTGACATATATAACGGGTGTTATAACCCTTTGTGACATATATAACGGGTGTTATAACCCTTTGTGACATATATAACGGGTGTTATAACCCTTTGTGACATATATAACGGGTGTTATAACCCTTTGTGACATATATAACGGGTGTTATAACCCTTTGTGACATATATAACGGGTGTTATAACCCTTTGTGACATATATAACGGGTGTTATAACCCTTTGTGACATATATAACGGGTGTTATAACCCTTTGTGACATATATAACGGGTGTTATAAGCCTTTGTGACATATATAACCGGTGTAATGACCCTTTGTAACATATATAACCGGTGTATAACCCTTTGTGACATATATAACCGGTGTAATAACCCTTTGTGACATATATAACCGGTGTAATGACCCTTTGTGACATATATAACGGGTGTAATGACCCTTTGTGACATATATAACGGGTTTGATGACCCTTTGTGACATATATAACCGGTGTAATAACCCTTTGTGACATATATAACGGGTGTTATAACCCTTTGTGACATATATAACCGGTGTAATGACCCTTTGTGACATATATAACCGGTGTAATGACCCTTTGTGACATATATAACCGGTGTAATGACCCTTTGTGACATATATAACCGGTGTAATGACCCTTTGTGACATATATAACCGGTGTAATGACCCTTTGTGACATATATAACCGGTGTAATGACCCTTTGTGACATATATAACCGGTGTAATGACCCTTTGTGACATATATAACCGGTGTAATGACCCTTTGTGACATATATAACCGGTGTAATGACCCTTTGTGACATATATAACCGGTGTAATGACCCTTTGTGACATATATAACCGGTGTAATGACCCTTTGTGACATATATAACCGGTGTAATGACCCTTTGTGACATATATAACCGGTGTAATGACCCTTTGTGACATATATAACCGGTGTAATGACCCTTTGTGACATATATAACCGGTGTAATGACCCTTTGTGACATATATAACCGGTGTAATGACCCTTTGTGACATATATAACCGGTGTAATGACCCTTTGTGACATATATAACCGGTGTAATGACCCTTTGTGACATATATAACCGGTGTAATGACCCTTTGTGACATATATAACCGGTGTAATGACCCTTTGTGACATATATAACCGGTGTAATGACCCTTTGTGACATATATAACCGGTGTAATGACCCTTTGTGACATATATAACGGGTGTAATGACCCTTTGTGACATATATAAAGGGTTTGATGACCCTTTGTGACATATATAACCGGTGTAATAACCCTTTGTGACATATATAACGGGTGTTATAACCCTTTGTGACATATATAACGGGTGTATAACCCTTTGTGACATATATAACCGATGTAATAACCCTTTGTGACATATATAACGGGTGTCATAACCCTTTGTGACATATATAACGGGTGTATAACCCTTTGTGACATATATAACGGGTGTTATAACCCTTTGTTACATATATAAAGGGTTTGATGACCCTTTGTGACATCTATAACGGGTGTTATAACCCTTTGTGACATATATAACGGGTGTATAACCCTTTGTGACATATATAACGGATATAATAACCCTCTGTGACATATATAACGGGTGTTATGACCCTTTGTGACATATATAACGGATGTAATAACCATTTGTGACATATATAACGGGTGTTATAACCCTTTGTGACATATATAACCGGTGTAATAACCCTTTGTGACATATATAACGGGTGTATAACCCTTATATATAACCGGTGTAATGACCCTTTGTGACATATATAACGGATGTAATAACCCTTTGTGACATATATAACGGAAGAAATAACCCTTTGTGACATATATAACGTGTTTAATGACCCTTTATGACATATACAACGGGTATTATAACGCTTTATGACATATATAACGGGTGTTATAACCCTTTGTGACATATATAACGGGTGTTATAACCCTTTGTGCCATATATAACGGGTGTATAATCCTTTGTGACATATATAACGGGTGTTATAACCCTTTGTGACATATATAATGGATGTAATAACACTTTGTGACATATATAACGGATGTTATAACCTTTTGTGACATAAATAACCGGTGAAATAACCCTTTGTTACATATATAACGGATGTAATAACCCTTTGTTACATATATAACGGATGTAATAATCCTCTGTGACATATATAACGTATGTAATAACCATTTGTGACATATATAACGGGTGTTATAATCCTTTGTGACATATATAACGGGTTTGATGACTCTTTGTGACATATATAACGGATGTAATAACCATTTGTGACATATATAACGGGTGTTATAACCCTTTGTGACATATATAACGGGTGTTATAACCCTTTGTGACATATATAACGGATGAAATAACCATTTGTGACATATATATAACGGATGTTATAAGCCTTTGTGACAAATATAACCGGTGTAATGACCCTTTGTAACATATATAACGGATGTAATAATCCTTTGTGACATATATAACGGGTGTTATAAGCCTTTGTGACATATATAACCGGTGTAATGACCCTTTGTGACATATATAACGGGAGTAATAACCTTAAATGGTAAATATAATAGGAGAAATAACATTTTGTGACATATATAACGGTTGTTGTTACCATTTTTTACACATTGGAAAACTATATCTAAGTGCAATAAATGTAAATGTTGCAAGCCGCCAACTTAACAATTACCGACATAAGCTAGAACATTCCAACTAAAAAGGCAGTGTTACTGTCAGACCTAACGAGGAAACTTGGATGACACCGGAGTTACCTAGATATAATAGATTAAGATGTAGATTACATCAAAAAAGCTACATGTATAATAAGTCAACACTCACATGACAGGGAACAATAAAACGGTTGGAAATTGAGTAAATAATGCGAAACAGCATAAAGTACTTCTTTTTATGCAAACGTAGATGGGATGTTCAATTGAAATTGGAATAATAAATTAGAAGTCATATTGGAAACTGAAGTACTGAGACATTTTTCAAAACCATCTGATAAATATACAGTTCTTCCTTTTATAGAGCCGTAAAGTTGTTGATGATGATAGTGAAACGACTATTGTACTTAACATTTCGATGCTGCATATGTGATTTAAATGACAAAAACATGCAAGTTCCTAATAAAGAATCCCGCACTAATGAGTCCCTGAAGTGTATGCTGAAGTATATACTGAAGTGTGTACGGACGTGTATACTGAAGTGTATACTGAAGAATACTGAAGTGTGTATACTGAAGTGTGTATACTAAAGTGTATACTGTAGTGTGTATACTGAAGTGTATACTGTAGTGTGTATACTGTAGTGTGTATACTGATGTGTATACTGAAGTGTGTATACTGAAGTGTATACTGTAGTGTATATACTGAAGTGTATACTGAAGTGTGTATACGGAAGTGTATACTGAAGTGTGTATACTGAAGTGTATACTGAAGTGTGTATACTGAAGAATATACTGATGTGTGTATAATGAAGTGTATACTGAAGTGTGTATACTGAAGTGTATACTGTAGTGTGTATACTGAAGTGTATACTGTAGTGTGTATACTGAATAGTATACCGAACTGTATACTGAAGTGTGTATACTGAAGTGTATACTGTAGTGTGTACTGAAGTGGGTATACTGTAGTGTGTATACTGAAGTGTATACTGTAGTGTGTATACTGAATAGTATACCGAACTGTATACTGAAGTGTGTATACTGAAGTGTGTACTGAAGTGTGTATACTGAAGTGTATACTATACTGTGTATACTGAAGTGTATCCTGTGAAGTGTATACTGAAGTGTGAATACTGAAGTGTATACTAAATTGTATACTGAAGTGTGTATATTGAAGTGTATACTGAAGTGTGTAAACTGAATTGTATACTGTAGTGTGTATACCGAAGTGTATACTGAAGTGTATACTGAAGTGTATACTGAAGTGTGTATACTGATGTGTATACTGAAGTATATACTGAAGTGTGTATAGTGAAGTGTGTACTGAAGTGTGTATACTGAAGTGTATACTGAAGTGTATACTGAAGTGTATACTGAAGTGTGTGTACTGAAGTGTGTATATTGAAGTGTATACTGAAGTG